CTCTAAAATTTATTGTTTAGATTATAAAAAAAATCGCCAAAAAGAAAGTAAATTGCCATTTTACTAATAATGTATAAAGAAAACATATATTTGTTCTAATTACCTACCTGACTGTATTCTTAAAGTCTTTGTGAGAAAACTGATTTTGATTATTATTAAAGTATTTGTGAGAAAACTGATGATTTTAAAACTTGAATAGAAAACTACTGACATCTACTTTTCACATGATGTTAACATAACATTAAGATCATTTTTTTTTATAAAATATAACACGTGTTTCCCTTTTTTTACACTAAAGAATCAATGTTTTTTGTACTTGTGAACATGATTATGCGATTTTTATCTTTTACACTAAAGAATCGATGTTTTTTTACTTGTAAACATATGTATCAAAAACTTTTCTCTTATACATAACAGGGAAAAAAACAAAATATAAAACAGATGAAACAGAAAAGGTAAAGAACAGTGTAGTTTTGCTGACCTGATGATGAATATGTCACCTCTGAAATGTAACCTAACGATGAATATGTGATCTCTGAAATCGTATTGAATAAATCACGTTAACAGGAATCGTATTGACTTCTCAAGTTGTATTGAAATATATCATCTATGCGTAAACTGATTGCCTGATTTTTAGGGATTGACACTATATGGAATTTAAATTCATTAGCTGATAATGGAATTTAAATTGATTAGCTGATTTTTTGGGATGGATATTGCATATTCGACAGAAATCAATTTTAAATTTCCTGATTTACTTCCTGATTTACATATTTACTTATTTACTTATTATTTACTTATTCATAATTCATGTTTGCTGATGTAGAAAATGTTTTCGAACAGAAGGGCAAAGTGGGAACTTCACTTATAATATATGAGCGGGAAAACGTAAGGTGGAGAGGCTAAGGGACTGCCAAGTGGCGTTTTCAGTACTGTTTTATTAGTAGAGAGGATATATATATATATATATATATATATATATATATATATATATATATATATATCCTTTTTTTGCGCTATGCTACTTGACGTATACTCATATCACCTTTTACTCTTCATAATCCAAACCCATGTCGTTGTCACCGCTTCTACACAACATCGCTTCTCTGGTAACTACTCTTGCATTCCTACTTTTCCTTTTCCGTTTACGATCGGAGTATGTTGTCTATCTCATTTGGAGTAATCCATGTTTTCTTTATTTTGTATCACATGCAATTTTCGCTATTGTTTCGCGAGTATTTCGAAAAGAATCTTTAGTCGATGATGTCTTCCTTTATGGTTTTCTATTTAATTGATTACCTTCCATGACAAGTCCGATTGTTTTAACTGCTTCAACTAGGTTTATGTTATGTGGATCGAATGTAAAGTTACTATTACTCTTGGTCCTAAGTAAATGCAATATTCTTTGTCACTTCTTGTTTGTAATTTCAATTCATGTGGTATTTTACATTCTAACCAACAATTTTTTTAAAAACAACATAAAATTAGTCGTGAGAATAAACCATAAACCCTCAAACTCAAACATGTTAACCCTAATCGACTAATCTTCATCTCCGAACACTTAATTCCCATACTTTGTCATCAATTCAATAGAGCATAAATCACACATTTAGAAAAAGTATACGACTTAGAAGCGTTATCCAAATACACTGAGACGTATTGCGTCTGTCAAACACTAGAAGTAAGGAAGACAATCATGAAAGCAAAAAGAATGTGTCGATGATGATTTGGAAGTACTTCGAGAAATCAGTAGTTAAGAGTTATGTTATGTTTATTAAACATGTCAGATATTCCAGTTCCTTCGAAAACCATGTGTAATTATGATTCGTTAACATTATATACAAGTTGATAGCGATCTTGATTTGGGTGCTTCCAAGAATGAAAAAATGGAACAGAAAATTTTGGCAAACTAAAGTAACATTCGGGCGTTGGGAAAAATAGTGATGGTAATCGGCCACGAAAAAATCTCAACAAGCAAAAGAAAATCAGGCGTGGAGAAAAATAATGTTGTTAATTGGCAATGATAAAATCTTTGAAAGCTAAAGAAAAGGCCGGTGCAAAGTAAATATGAAAATGAGAAATATTATGCAGGGAAAAGTAATGTTTTTGGTGAAAAATTCTTGATAAACTTAGAAAAACATTCGATATAGCTAATAATTTTTTTTCCAACGTATATGATGTTTTCTCCTTTTGCTACATAATATGTGAGTAACTGTTATGTGCATATTTGGATCTTGCACATCAATTTATCATCCACATTATATTTGGAGGGTGTTTGAGATTTCATTTAAAATAAGTAATTGGTTTATTGTTTTTTTTAAAAGTTAATTAGTTAAAAAAATGTTTGACATTGTGAAAATGACATCTATCAGAACTTTTCATGAACTCTTTAAAAATGAGATTTCAATAAGTTAAGGTTTTTATCTTTTCAAGATTATATATAATTTTTGGGTTGTAAAAGCTAAAATACACCTTAAAGTTATATATATATATATATATATACACACACACACACACATATATATATATATATACACACACACACACATATATATATATATATATATAAAATATATATATATATATATATATATATATATATATATATATATATATATATGGAATGGTTATTTGGAAAACAAAAAAACCCTAAAAATCATAAAAATGCATAAAACAATAGTTAGAGATTACAAAGTTTTTTTTTTTTTTAAAAAAAAAAAAATTTTTTTTTACAAAAAACTCACAGGTTTTTTAATAAATTTGATGAAAAAAAAATCAAAATTAAAAAAAAAAAATAAAAAAAAATCAACGAATTTATTTAAAAACCTGCGATTTTTCATTAAAAAACTAAAAAAAAAAGTTTTGTGATCTTTAAGTATTTTTTATGCATTTTTATGATTTTTTGTTTTCCATAGAACTTATATATATATATATATATATATATATATATATATATATATATATATATATATATTAGAGAGAGAGAGAGATGTTCTTTTGAGAACCAAAAAAATTGTTAGAACTTGCGAACTCATAATCAACTCATCATTTTTCAACATAAAAAACATTAATCTTCTCAAAAGGGTACGTTAACACCCTCTACACTACCTGTTAACACAAAAACGAAAATACTTGCATAAACCACTATAATAATCACCTCTACCTAACCTTACAACAACCAAGAACCACCACGATAACCTCTTCTCTATCGCCGTCACCCGCCTCGATTTTCATCTATGTCCACCATCAGGAACCCACCATCACCAAACATCCTCCTTATACCACCCTTGTTCACTATCGAAATTACCACCGGAAATCACCATCATTATCACATCTTAAACCACCACTCTTTACGCACCCTTGAACAAAAAAGAAATAAGACAAAAAAGAGAGGAGAAGGTTAATCTTTTAACCCTAGTCCACTGACTAGCTTACGTCGAATGTTTTTACAACCTTGATATATATATATATATATATATATATATATATATATATATATATATATATATATATATATATATATATATATATATATATAAAAGTTAAGACCATTGCTTTTTAAAAAATAACTTATTGTCTTATGAATTTTTCCTAATACAAAAACTGATTCAAACACTTTAAAAAAAACTATATTTTCCTACAATCATAAGTCAATAAGTTATTTTACCTAAAAGTCCTTTTGAGTTTCTAAACAAAATCTCAAACACCTTTTGATGTGATAATATTATTGAATTACGACACTTGCATTCACACTTCATATAGTGAAAATGACGTTTAACCTAAAATTGTCATTTCCAACCCATTTTTATTTTCATCAAAAAATGAAGTAAAAAGTAAAGTTAATAATGTTTAATTTCCGATCATACATTATTTTTTACACTAAAAAAATATACTCATAGTATATTCCATTATTTCAGCTTATGTAGATTATTAAACACATCCATCTTACTAATTTGGTTTTAACAAATATAATCTATATTCTTTCATACAATAATATTATACATACGTTTATATAAATATTACACATACACACTTTTAAATAAATATTATACATATATTTATATAAATTTTACACATACACATTTTTAAATAAATATTATACATGCATTTATAATATATTTATCACATGGACAATATTTTAATAACGTAGAGGATCTGAATCTTGTTTACCTTATTACTAGGCTAATAATGTCGTCATTTGTAGATTTTTATTAAATTATTAGTGTAATATATAGGTTAATTGCATGGTTAATAATATATATTATTGTGTTTGTAATATATATTTTAATTATATATTTTTGTAAAATACGTTATCGTATTTTAAAATTTCAATATGTATTAAAATTTTTATATGAATGTGATACATAAAAAACAAACTTTATATTTATAATTAATTAATATAATCTAATATATAACAAAATATTATAAATATTAAATATTACATTTAAATTATAATTAGTAGAAAAAAATAAACTTAAAATATAAAAATATATAAAAAATACTAAAACCGACAATTCAAAACGAGATAAAATTGGAGAATAATGAAGAAAAAATATAAGGAAATATGAAAAATAAGAATAGGCTGGAGACATTTATCATAAGAACAAAAAAACAAATTAGCCAATAAGTTTATAAATGTCTTTTTTATTGTTATCAACTCGAGGATATAAAAATGATTTTTTTTTTCTTCTCTATTTTATTTTACCTTTCTTTCTTCCTATTTTGTTATTTAACAAAAACCTAAAAACGGTTTAATTTTTATTTTAACATAATTTAAATTTTAATTTATTTATAACTCCGTATCACCGTAGGACTTCAAAGTTTATATTATAATACTAAAAATATTTTTATTCATAAATTAAAAAAATTAAATTAATTGTAATAAGCCCAAGTGTTTGAAAAGTTGCAAGATAAGATGATAACAGTGGGCTCACCGCCAAATTCGGCCCCAAATCTGTTCTATAAATGCAATGCATACACGTCTCATCTCTCGGAAGTTTTTGCTCTTGTGTATGTTAACGTTTTTTTTCTAGGGTTAACGTTTCACTGTAATCTTTCTCTATCTTCTCCATCTATGGATTAGGGCACGTCTCGCTCATAAATTTCAACTCAATCCGCGTATTTTCATTTCAGGTGAGCGTCTCTTGTTTATTATGGCCTAATATCTATGTGGATTTATTTGTTTTGTGATTGTTTGATTGATGATTGTATGCGAATTTTCTTAAACTTACTTGTTTTTTCGTCGACGGTTGTTTTAGCGTAGAAAGATTTGGGTTTTGTTTCTGAATTCGTCGTTGATAGGAGTTTGTATTAGGGCTTTAAGTGAATTAATATTTGTTCCGTTGGAAAGTTGTATTTTGATGTGTGAAAATTGGGACCTTTTGTTTAGGCTTTTACGGTGGTTTTTATTATATTTGCTTGAGTTCACATTAAAGCTTTTATTGGTTGCTAGCGTCAAGGGGATTTGGGAATGGAATCCAGGAGATGCAAGTTTTTAATTTCGATTTCAAGATCAGTATTTGGTTTCTTATGATTAACGCTAATTTTATCGAGGGGATAATTCATAAACTGTTTTCTTGTTTAGTAAATTGTAACCTGTTAGTGTTGCATATCCATGTAGGTTTTGACGTTCATTAGAGTTTCGATGACTTCTATATCCTCACCCAAAATAAATAAATACATAAACAATCAACAACTGAAAGATTCATCTATATTATTATTGTTAGATAAGTGTCTTGTAACTACTTTTTTCTTATGAAAAAGTTATTATTAATGAAGAAATGTTCCTACACCTGTATGAGGTACTCGCTGGTCACATTGATGTGAGGTCTTTGTAGTGGTTTGCTTGTGCATTGATTTTATATCTTAATCATCCATGTTTCTCTCTCTCTCTCTCTCTCTCTCCATTTTTCCTTGGGTTACCTTACACCTGCTCTTCATATCTGTTTCTCTGTTGATCTATATTAATGTTATCAAGCAATGATTGGCATGGAGCTGGCAAGCTTATGATCCGGAAATGGGATGTATCAACTAATTTAAAACAAGATTTGAGAAATTTTATCTTTTTACAATCGATAGTGATTAATATGACTTGTTTTTCTAGTGGAAAAAGATAGTTTGGACTAATTAATAACAAGATACGAGAGGTTCATATGTTTTATTTGGGCAAAAATGATCCAGTGCTGTGCCCTAACCTCCTGAAATTGTTAATGTTTCAGTTGCTTTGGTGTATAATTAGCATAACTGGATGATTTCTCTCTTGCCATTGGTCAAGGCATTTCCCATGAGCTTCGCAGTATCTGGTGTTCAATTGGTTTAAAAATCACTTCATCTGAAGTCGGAGGGTCATATCAGCTACAACTGATATTTTGAACTTGTTATGCCCAAAGTTCTTACTTTTTGTTGTAGTTTAGGATGCTGTTTATGTAATTTTGATGTAAATTTTCTTGCATAGAGCTTTCGTGTTCCAACTTCAGGAGTGTTTACCACAAGAATCTGATTCTTCATGGTGCTTTTTGATCATTTTACACCACTAAATTGATGGGGATGTGAACCAAATGGCATAGCAAGAAGATCTTATCTGCATATCCAGTCTTTAGGCCAAGGGATGATGTGGCATTAATAAAACATAGCAGCAGATGGTGGAGTATCTGTTAAGGGGTTCTGGAAAGCTGTTGGAAGTTCTGACTATTAACATTTGTGGATGTATTTAGGATCCAGTCAAGGTCATTATTCATAATAACACCATTAGTACTCTCCAAAACCACCTCCCTCCACTCGTAACAAATAGAAAATTAGAGAAAGATTACATTTACTCCTTTTGGATAAGGGTATCTTCGTCTTTTAACCCTTTTTCACAAATTTGCTTTCTGTAATGTCTAAGAAGGAAAATCTGAAATGAACACATTTTTTACAAGATAGAGATCTATAGATGATGTACGAACATGCATGATTTAAATTTGACACAAGAATTAGAAAACTACAAGATTATTCTTTCCAAGATTGTTTTCCACAATATTTTGAAACCAGTTTTTGTCAATTTCAACTGATAACTGGATCAAGTAAGAACATCAAAATCAAGCTGTTCAAAATGAGATGGGAAAGAACTGATATAACTATCATTCGAATATGGAGTAGCTTGTAACATACATGAGGTTGATAGTTGACTTAATAGTGATTTCTCCTTAAGGGTTTTCCAGCAACTAATCAAATTATCAATGCAGAAGCAGAGTCATATGTTGATATTATACAATGTTTTGGGCATTCTTGAACTTCCTTGCTATATGTGTCTTATGTATATGGTCTAGGTGCTAAATATATGTGGGGTTCATTAAGTTGTCTAGTCATCTTGTATTTGCACTATTTTGAGTTTTATATCATATGATAAACATTACCTGAGTGAAGTTTCTCATATCCCTGAATTCTTTTTGTATTGTAGACTATAATCCTGGATGTTAATGGGGTGTGCTGGATAAGCTTTTATCATCAAGTCCAGTAGACATGAGCAGCATTGCATCTCAGCCATTATCAACACCTCTTCAAATGGAACCTGTTTCCAATCAAGACTCATCACTTAGTGTAGGCCAACAGAAGCCATTATTACCTTCAAAGAGGAAAGCTACAGCAGAATCTTTCTCCAATAATCCCTTACCTCTTCATTCATCAATTCCAAACAAACGTGTAGTTCAAATAGATGCTCATGTAAATTCAAGTTCACCTCGTGTGTCACCACTCTCTGTGAACAAGAAACAAACGCAAGTACAAACCACGGCTAATGGTCAACCGAATAAAAGAATGATGAGAAATGAGTCAATGTCAAATAAAACCGTGTCTCCAAGGGTACAAATGTCAAAGAGCAAGACTGCACCACAGGAAGTGTCACCAAAAGTTCAAAGTGAGTCATATGTACGTGCAAAAATGAGGGAAACTTTAGCTGCTGCTTTGTCTGTTGGCATTCAGAACAAAGAGGAACTTTCTAATGATGATAAGAATGTGGGCCCTCAGTCTACACCTACTGCTGATGTGGCCATCAAGGAGACAAGTGAGGGACAAAAGCCTCAGTATAACTATGTGATGCCTGACACTGATGGTTCATTTGGGGACACCTTTTTTGTGAAAGATGAGCTTCTGCAGGGAAATGGGCTATCATGGGCATGGGATATGGAAGTAGATGAAAAGTCAACTTCAGTGCCAATTGGTCAACAGGGTCAAGGTGATGAAAATGGAAATGGTAATGGTGTTGAAGAGGTGATTGATTCTCCTCAAGAATTGGGTTTGAAGATTGAAGGTGAACTGTTTAAGCTTTTTGGAGGTGTGAATAAGAAGTATAAAGAAAAGGGTAGGTCTTTGATGTTCAATTTAAAAGACCGAAGTAACCCTGAGCTTAGAGAGAAAGTTTTATCGGGTAAAATCTCTCCTGAAAGATTGTGTTCAATGACACCAGAGGAACTTGCTTCTAAGGAGCTTTCGGAATGGCGAATGGCAAAAGCAGAGGAATTGGATAAAATGATAGTATTACCTGATTCCGATGTTGATATGAGGCGTTTGGTTAAAAAAACACATAAGGGTGAGTATCAGGTGGTTGACTTTGAACAAGATGATGGTATTTCTGTTGAGGTGGCTGTAGGGTCAACCTCTATGGCTACTCAGTTTAGACCAAAGAAAAAGAAAGTGGAATCTGATGGTCAACAAGTCAAAGGTGAAGAAGTGAAAGAAGGAGAGGAGACAGGTAATCGGGTTACTGTTTCTACAGAGGGGACTGATTTCATGCAAGAGTTGATTGTGGAAGAGTTTAAAGATGAGGGATTCTTGCCACCAATTGTTTCATTGGATGAGTTTATGGAATCTCTTGATACTGAGCCTCCATTTGAAAACTTAAGTGTAGATGGTAAGGAAACGAAGGGTGCTGGTGTCTCAGATAAGAAGGACAAAAAAGAAACTGGTAATGAGAAGGTGTCTTCGGGGCCCACTTCTGCTGAGGTGGAAGCACGCGTGGAGTTGTCAAGTGTGAAAAGTGGGGAGACTTCTGTAGAGAGAAAAGTTTTGGCTTCTAGTGTAGCTATTGGTGAATGTTTATGGGAAGGTGACCTCCAGCTCAGCATCTCTTCTTCAGTGTCTGTTATGGGACTGTTCAGAAGGTATGTCTGCCAAGCTGTTTGTTTTAAATTCTTAATGATGAGAAATTTGTCAAGATTTATACGGGTCTGTTTGGTTGGATGGAATGGAATGATTACATTGTATTGTCATGGTATTTATATATTTGGATATAGTATTTATTCACAGTTTAAAAAAAAATAGATAATAGTATTGAGTTTATTTCCACTTTAGATATTAATGAATGAAATTTTTTGAATTTATTATTTATAGTAGTAAAAGAATAACATATAACAAAATCTCGTTAAAGCTTTGAATATTTTAGTAAATAGATATTTTATTTTATTTTCTTAAATAAATTAAAGCTGTTAACTTTTTTGAAAGATGTATGTTATTAAACGTTACACTGAAATGGGAATAATAAGTACTGTGTGATTGATAGTCAAATGTAAACCTTAAGAATGGTCCATTCCATTACACTAAACAAATGCCTTTTCTTTTTCTTCATTCCAATGGATGAACCATTCCATTCCATTTGTTCTCTGATTCCATCACTAGAATGATTTAACCATTCTGTTTGGTCTGTGTGAATGTCTAAATTGCTGGATGGATTTTCATGTATAAAAAAGTATTAGGTTATGTTTATAAACTGAATGGCGTGCATATACAGTTACATTTATCTAATATTTTATTTTTTTTATTTTAATAGTGGTGAAAAAACATCAACAAAAGAGTGGCCTGGATCTATTGAGATCAAGGGCAGAGTGAGACTGGAAGCATTTGAGAAATTCCTTCAACAACTCCCCATGTCAAGAAGCCGTGCTGTCATGGTATACTTATGCTACCAACTACCAAGTCATCTTGTTGCTTTTCATTGCAACTACATAGCTGATGATATCACTCAATTATCCATGCAACAATTTGTACAGCATATTATTATTATTTTTGTTATTACACCATTTTGGAATAATAAACCCTTAAATTTGACACTACAACATTTTTCAACTTTGTTTCCCCTTTGATGGTGTTGTGTGGTGTATACATTTACTTTTCCATGGTATGAGATCAAAACTAGTTGAAAAAAAATATTATTTTTTTTAATTTGTGTACAAAAAAGAATGTGGTTGACAAGAAATCCTAAAATATTTTCGCTACATAAAACTGTCAAACTACAATGAGATGAGACTATTTATTAATTTGGGTGTTTAAAGTATAACCAAAAAACCCATAAAAATTTTATTATCCGCATATTCGGAATAATTTTTTTAAAGCAAATGGCATTGATCAACTAAAGAAACCAATTATTGAAAGTTGCTTGTAGCCATGGAATCATATTAATGAAACTATACACTCTTTTGCAGGTTGTACACTTCAACCTGAAGGATAATTCTCCAGAGTTCCACAGAGCCAGTCTTTCTGAGGTGAGTTTATCAAAGAGGGTATTTTGGTCTTTTTACAGTGTGGCATCTTTTTAAATTTTTGTATACATTGATTGTTGCAGTCTATGGATTCATATGTAGCAGAAGAAAGAGTAGGATTTGGTGAACCAATTCCAGGAACCGAAGTCTATTTCTGTACACCGCATAAAAGAATCACAGAAATGCTGAGCAGACTGCTCTCCAAAGACCAGACCGATATACAAAAGTCAACAGACAACGGGCTCATCGGCGTGGTGGTCTGGCGCAGACCTCAGCCTGCTGCCGCCACGTTGCCGCCTCACCATAAACACCATAGAAAAAACACTCTCTCATCTAGAAGACAAGAAACTATCAACACCATTACAAATTCAAAACCGTTGCATCCACCACCACCTCCACCACCAGATCATGGTGGTGATGATGATGATGATGATGATGAGGACGATGATATTCCACCGGGATTCGGTCCTGGAGTTGTTGCCCGGGATGAGGATGACCTGCCCGAGTTTAATTTTTCCGGCGGCAGTGGCGGGTCAAATTCAAATTCTGCCCAGCTTTCAAGAATGGTTCAGTCTAATAATACTCCTAGGCCTGTAGCTCATATGAGACATCTTGTTCATGAATATGGTCAAACTGGAAATAATAATAATAACAATAATAATAATAATAGCATTAATAATAGTGGTAATAATAATAATAGTAATCATACACATTGGAATGGAAATAGACCTTGGAATCGTGATGAGGATGATGATATACCGGAATGGCAACCACAACCGCAACAGCAACTCCAAATCCATCATCAAGGTGAATTGCCTAACCATATGGTCAACCAAGTTAGACCCATGATGGGACCACCTGTTATGCATGTACGACCACCACCTAATTTGATGCAAAATGTATGGGTGCAACCGCCTGGCCCTCATGCTCTTCTGCCTAATGCCGCCGCCATGCCAGCTCGGCTTTATGGTGGGCAGTGGCGGCCGGAGGAGCCAAGGGGTAGAGGTTTTTGATTGTTGTAGATAGTTAGCTTAGGTTTAGCTTTGCTTTTTCTGTTTTGTGGTAGTTGAGTTTTGTAACATTTTACTTTGTGTACTTGAAATAATGTTTAGTATATTATGCTAATCATTTAGGATCTCTTATTGTATTGTATTGGGCTTTCGTTGGATGGTTGAGATTTTTTTTCTACGTTTTCAACTCTTGTGTTGCAAATCAACCCGACACTTATTTCTCATCTTAGATAAAATGGATTGTTTTATGATCCAGAAGTTGATGTAAGATTATGGTCATTGCTTATATACGAACCAAGATAAAACCTAGTGGTATTTTAGTGTCTCTTAACTTAGATGGCTCTAGTCTTGATGTAGTTAGGAGCATATTGGAGGGTGCATGACTCATCACAAGTCAACACCGATAATATGATATAACTCCAAATTCACCCTTTGATAAAAGGGGTATTCATATTAATTTCCTGTTTTGCAATTTCTAAGGTCTACATGATATTTTTGCAAAGTATAGTACACAAGGTTCGCCAATTTTGTGTTCTTAATCATTACGTTATGCCAAAAATCAATCCCTTCATCCCCAAATATGGGAATCCATAGCTTTCACCCTCAATTTACATCAAATGAAAACCATTGAACACGAGAAAAACTGGCATCTAATGGGTTTTTGATAGTCTCTAAGTTCCAATTATCAATAGAGAACTTCTATTGGTTTCTCCCTTGCCTCTCCATCCATATTTGCGAAAATCACAAAGAAACCCTAACACCCTGTTCCTGAATTAAAATTGAGGGGAAGGAAAGGAAGGAAAAGTAGGTAAAGGAAATGAAGGGGAACTTTCCGTTCATTTCATTTCCTTTCCCTCACAAAGAAACCCTAACATATATGTATCGTTATGTACCATGCTTACATGGTGTAACGTAACGTCATTTTTATTAGCTTCCTAATTTATTAACAATATTCACATTCAAACACTAATCAACTTTATAAGATATTAAAACGAGCAGTATCTTGGCTAGTGGTAGATGCATTTTATGTACCATTTAGTGTGTTCATTACATGGATTTGCATTGCATATAAGTGTTATGATTCATGCATTTTGATATTTTTGGGACATTTTATTAGAATCTTATTATTTGCATATTTTTTGGATGATTTCCAAAGTATTTGAAGTTTTAAGTATGATTGGGATGATGCTAGGGGGTTGCAGTCCAAATTTCAGGAATGAGAAAGTTAGAAATTTTGAGGACATAAGTTATTCTACACTTGGCCTTTCCTATACAGGTTGACCAAGTCGAGGCATGAAGAAAATTGAGAAGCTAGACATGGGAGGCTCGACTCGGTCGAGTAACTCTTTTACTTTGAATTGACAGGATCGAGTTGGGAAAACTGATAATTTTTGGGTCTTTAAATACCACTTTTCATCAGATCTGCCATTCATCTCGACTTTGGTCGCAATCAAGACAAATTTTAAAGAACTTTGAAGATCTCATCTAGAAACAAAATTTTGGTATTTTATTAGTTTGATTAACACTTTAAACTTGTTGAATTAAACTTTTGATTATTTAAAAGCTCTCATTTCCTGTTCAACGTTTGTCTCTGTGTGTTTGATTTCGTTGGATTGAAGTTTGGAATCTTCTTTAATCTAGTGATTCATGTTTTGTTTTTTATTCCTGAATGACCACTTGAGTTAGGTTGATTGTTTCATAAACTAGTAACAAACAATAAATTGGTTCTTTGTTTGTATTTAATCTCAACATAAACATGAAATCATATGTTTTTACACTTCCGATCATAAGAAGTATTAAACATTATTTGGAATACTAGTACAAAACTTAATGCAACTTTACAATTGAATTTAAGAGCTTGTTTAAATTAAGGTAATAAAGTTGGGTTTATTTAAAAAAAACTTATTTTTAACTAAATAATTTTACAAATAAAGTGATACCAGAGCTTGTTAGTGTTGCTTAGTAGTTAGTACCAACTTATATTAATAATGATTCAAACGTTAATTCCGACCTACATTATAGATGAGTAGAACACGAAACCGAAATTGATTCCTTGATTTTCTAAGAAAACTAGTATTTTTTTTTCATGCTATTACTTTTAGTCTTTTGAATAACAAAAGACCTCCATTTGTTACTTTTTATATTTTATTTATCATGTGAATTATACAACAAAGAGGTATTTAACAATTTATTTGTCTTAATGCACACCGATTTAACCCAATATGGATTCAACCCTGCTTTCACTTAGAGCAGCCACATCATTTTTTTTTCAAACCAAATTGCAAAGCCATGTACTCAGTATTTGAAAGCCACGTAGGAGGACTTCTTTCAACTGCTGAAAGAGCATTGCAAGGGGGCCCACAATACTTTAATTAATTTATTATATTATTTTACTGTCATATATTTATGTTGTTTCTTATCTCCTTGCAATTATTTTAATTTCAAATAGAGTATAATTAATTAATTGTCAATACATTTACTTTTATGGCTTCATAAAGATTTTCTCTCTCTCTCTCTCTCTCTCTCTCTCTCTCTCTCTCTTTTATTTTTTATTTTTTATTTTTTAACACAACTATACATTATATCATATTATTAAATTCTTTAAAATTGTTAAATGTAAACATGCACTTTTTTTTATAATTAAGTAAAAAAAATTGTAGGGATACTTTTCAAAATAGATAAACAAAAATAACTTTTAACATATATATATATATATATATATATATATATATATATATATATATATATATATATATATATATATATATATATATATATATATATATATATATATACACACGTGTTGATATTTCATTGATTTGATTTTTGTATTACAAACGATAATGTGATTATGTGACACAATTGAAAGATGATCGGTATTGGAGCGATGTAGATAGTCTTTACTATCTTTTGGTAGACAACTATACATTCTCTAATTAATTTCTTTATTATAAGGGGTATTAGATCTATAGATGGCAAACTACAAGGACCAGAAAGGCTGTATTCTTCTTCTATTCATTAGATCACCCTCTTTTCACAATCTACAAAGCGAAGTGGATGAGCTATGGAAACTGTCCTCTCTCCCTCACATTCTCGCGCCATATCCAATCATCCCAAGCTTTCACTCTTCAGGTACTCTCATTTTATTTCTCTCTCTATATATAAAGCGATGTATGTATCCCATAGATATTATGTCAATGGGCCTTGCGTAACGAGTGCGTGCTTGTGTGTTCTTCAGGGACCAAGCTAAGATAAGTTCATCAAACCAAAAGATATGTAATTCTAACAAGAAATTCGTAGCTTGTTGCTGTGAATCTTCAGAACCCACCTCCCAAAATGGATTTTGCAGGAGGGATATTGTTCTATTCGGGTTTGCTGCTTCGGTTGCTACAGTTTTCCCAGTAGAAGGTAAACAACCATTAAAATTTCCTTTTGTTTCATCTGCTGCATTAGTTTGGCCTTTGATTTTCAATTTGTATAAATTTTGTAGTCTAATGCGACAGAGTGAGTATTTTGTGTATGTTATAAGATCATCTTCCCTAATTTCCTTATAATTTTCAGGATCTGTTGCTGATGAAGAGATTAAAATGGCTCCAATAGTTGATGACCTAAATGCATATTCATATTTGATTCCATTGGAAATGCCTTCCAAGAACTTTTCCTTTAAATGGTTTGTATCTTATCTTCAAACCATGTTTAAGTTATAAATTTGCCCATCACCACCATTACACATAAATTCATGGTATTGATTTGGGTACACAAGATTCCTTTATATTTTGTAGTAAATGACGTTTAAAAAATATCTAATGGAAGGAAAAAAGTCTCCTTTCTTTTGACTTTTTTCTATTAAGTCATTCTTTGCATTAAGAGAGAAAAACACTCATAATAAGTGTATTATGAGTGTGGTTATCTATCTAATGTTTTTTCATCTTTTTTTCTTTTGAAGGGTGGAATCAAGAAAACCCGAACGCTACTCATCTGCAGCACCTCTTTCCCGTATGTTTGTAGCTTTGCTTTCTTCCATAATTGAACCTTCATACTTGTGTGTGTGTGTGTGTGTTTTTACATACATACATACATATTTACATACATACATACATACTGATGAAGTAAACTCTCCATTATGATACAGCTAATGCGCGACTACGGATTGTGGCTGAACGTGTTGATTTTTTTGACAATCTCATTCTTTCTGTAACGGTATTGACAATGAAGTTTACTCTTAAAAAGTCAAAAAGTCAACTTAATTGATGAATTCTTGTACTGAATCTCCTTCCTATTTGCATTATTTTTCAGATAGGTCCTCCGAATCCAATATTCTTGAAATCAAATGATAAGAGTACATGGGAGGCAAAGGATGTTGCTGATTCTGTTTTATCTGACAAGTCTGCTTTGGTAATTTACCAATTTACTTCATAAATTTAAAGTATGGTGTCTTAATTTTTGTGCATACAGCGTGTTACTTCGAGTCAACGCATGGCAGAAAGTTCGGTTCTTGATGCTCACACTTCAGAAGTAAGTTCTCAAAGCTTTGCATTTTGTTTTAATTTTGTTTTTAATATTGATTATTGTTTTGTATTATAGATTAATGGTGAGCCATATTGGTACTATGAATACCTAGTTCGCAAATCCCCTACAAAAACTGTATGTCTTTCTCCTTCTTTTTTTTTTTTTTGTGCTGTAATTAATATGGTTGTTCTTGCTCTGGCTTAAAAATAAATATATGCTAAAGGGTGTTTATTTTATTAATGTTAAAAAATACAGGTGACAGATTCAAGTATCTTTCGGCATTATGTAGCTGCATCTGTTGAACGCGATGGTGTGATAAAATTTCTTCCTCTCTCTTTTTTCCTTCTTTTGGGTTAAGTGCAAGAAATAGCCTTAATTTGAAAACACAATTAAAAGTACAATGTTCTAATATAAACATTACAGTTTGTTAACACACTTGAGTGCTTTTGTGCAGGATTTTTATACACTTTGAATGCTTCAACACTGAACAAGCAATGGGACATGGTAATTCTCTCTTCCTCCATCTTTTCTGATTACTAGTATATTTCCATGTTTAGATTAATATGAATAATACAAAATAGTAAATATCTTGTTAGGGGCTTATTTCCAATTTATTTACTTGTTAGAGATCTTAATCGAGTTTGTTATTTATTTATTTTTTTCAAAACAGATGGGGCCCGTACTGGAGAAAACCGTGGCTTCATTTAGACTTCTCCCTCCCACTGAAAACTATGTTCCACCATACAAGGATCCATGGAGATTTTGGTGATTAATTTGTAATCATTTTTTTTGTAAAATTTTGGTGGGTTAATTAACCCTTTGCAATGTTGCATTAGATTAGGGTTTTGAAACTGCAATCCCATAGCAAGTATGGCGTTTAGCTTCTTGTATTTAGTTCCATTTGTCAAATGATAATGTAGCAACCATTTCAGTGACCATTTGTTACACAAGACTAGACAAACTTTTCAAGGCTATTTTCAATTCTGTTTCATTGATATCAATCTAATGTTCAAACATAAATGCTACCCACATAGTCAAATTACAAATGATGAAAGAAGCTACTTGAGTTTGACAATCCAACCCATTTTATCGTCCACAAGGCCCATTTGTAGCCTTGTCAATGAAGAATAAAGTTGTTGCGATACAAGTCCTACACCATGGCTTCCATAACTCACACTGCACACACACACACATGATGATAATTGATTATTAATTAAACACCAGTGATTGGTGGCCCATAACTTAAAAAGGCTTATAATGGGCCCATACTTCTCTTTTTACCTTTTGCCAAGATAAGTTATGCTACCCACGGGGGATACAACCACGGCTGTTCCTGTGCAAAAAACTTCATCAGCATCAAGCAACTCATCTACTGTTACTTCTCGCTCCTCAACCTGTGTATAGTCGAAATATTCCATTATTTTTTTGGATTATTGGAGGGGTATTTTAGACATTTGAAGTACCTGGAATCCTTCATCACGAGCCACATCAATAATACTCTTTCGTGTGATACCTGGGAGGATAGTCCCTTTTATATCTGGAGTAGATATAGAGTTTCCCTTTACCACATTATATGATAACAGTATTAGTTTATTTACAAAAAAAAATAAATAATAATAATTAGAACAATTTTTATATACCTTTACAATAAAAATATTACACGAGGAGACCTCTTCCAAATACTTCTTGTGCACACTGTCGAGATACAACACATCAGAATAACCTTCTGCTTTTGCTGCACCTTGCGCCTTTAAAACCTACAAACATTATTTTATATAAAAACATTAGAAATCTTTTTATAAAAACAGAGTTGACTTTATCCATTCAGACATCATCACTCATTCAGCTACTTTACCAGAAACTAGCAGTGATAGTAGACATGCTTACCGCAGCATAGTTTCCAATAGTCTTTACACTTCCAGTTCCACCAGGGGTTGCACGATGCATTTCAGTTTCAATTATCAAGTTTATAGGCGATAAACCTTCCTGCATCAGAAAACTCATAGAAAGTGACATAAACAACAAAAATCTTATGAAAAAAATAGACTCATACAATAAACAACATGAACATACCTTGAAGTAATTACCAACAGGAGAAACATAGATCAGAAAAGTATACTCTGGAGCTGGTGCAAGACCAAGTACACTTCCACTCCCTATGAGCAGTGGCCTTATATATAGTGAACCTTTTCCAGGAGGGGGTATCTAAAACAAGACACACGATGCTATTATCAATTTATCATATAGCATATTAGAATCTGTGTGAAGTTATGTACAAACTTTATGTGCTCCAAAAGTAAACATATGTGTTACCCATCTTTCATTTGCTAATACAGTGGCCTTAACAGCTTGAATGAATTGATCAACAGAAGGAGAAGGCATACACATACGCTCTGCTCCCATCATCATCCTTTTAGCATTTTCTTCAGGACGAAAGAGTAAAATGTTATCATCTTCTGTACGATATGCTTTTAGGCCTTCAAACAATCCCTATGAAATTACAAAAGGGAAAATCAGGATTTAGTTACTGCTTACAACAATAGTAGAGTAAATTAAAAGATTCTGCAAGGGTTTTAAGAACTGACTTGGCCATAATTGAGGACTCCAGCACATGGGCTGAGCTCGATGTTCCCAAAAGGCACGAGCTCCCCTTTAGAGAAGCTCCCTCCTAGAGAACATTTCATGGTGTACATATGATCAGTATGCACAAGCCCAAATCCAATGGTGTCCCAATCAATGTCAACTGTATCACTTGGTACACTGCTGAGTTGAAGAAGAGTAGTTATTGTACAATCTCACAAAAATCTACAGAAACTCAGAGAAAACTGAACTTCGAACAACAGTTAGAAGAGGCACCTGACGGGAGAATTCACTCCAACAGCCGGTGCAATGTTAGTGCCGCAAGTGGTGGTGGTGGTATTCGGCAAATTAAAGCGCGACTGATGTTGAAGCTGCTGCCATAGCCATAAATTCAGAAGAAAATCCAAATCTCAGTTACAACAGAATGTGACATCAAATTCGAAATTCAAAAACTGGACGTGCTAGTTCCAATTTTTTAAAACATGATAATTATGACTACAATCGATAATGAGAAAAGCTACAAATCGGAAATTTTAGATGATAAATCGCCAACAATCAAAACAACCATAAACCTACCTTGTTAAGAGGAAGAAAGGAAAAAGGAGTCGTCAGGTAGGGATTGCGGGAGAGAAGACTAGCAGTAGTCGTGTGTCTATGAAAACCGCCGCCGATGGTGGTGGCGGCGTTTAAGAATACAGCGGAGGTCTCCATCTATCTCTCGAATTTGCCTCTTTTCGTTCGGTTACTCACTGTATTCAAGCTTGGAGGAGTCTGACTCATGCACCATTAATCGCACTTTATAAATGTATGTTACGCACACGACGATAGGAGAAAGAAGACATGATTTTGTCCGTGTTTTCTAGCCGTTGATCTTTATTATATCAAATCTGAACCCTTGTTTGTTGTCCTAAATCGTCATAGCACATTCAATAGGGACGATAACAGAATAAAAATAAAAATAATGGATAAAATGGCTAAATTGGTATCGTAAGGTTATAATCGATACCTGGGCTAATGTCAGAAATGGAAAAGACCGAATGCAAAGTAAACACGAGATATTGTTGTCTGGTTGGATGTACTCTTGGGCATTCAATAGAGAACTTGGCAATAGTCTCATAGGATTATTCACGAAATGATCATCCCTCTTAGTCCTATTTGATTTGGGTTAATTACATGACGGTACTAATTGTTTTAAAAAAAGGTTAACAAAATTGCAAAAATAGTCCCTATGGTATGTAATTTTTTTGGGGTTTTAGCAAAGTTCTAAAAAGCTCGTTATGACTCCGCCATGGTGCGCCACGACTCGAAGGCTTGCACCTGCCGCCAAACTTTACCAAAATACCGCCTTAACTCATATATGTATATAAAAATGAATAATAGTTGAAAATACATATAAAAATTATTAATTATATAGAAAATTGCCGCCTTAACTCACGCCTTACAAACGTTGTGACTCGCCTAGGTTCGGAAAAGTTTGAGGCTTGACATTCTTGGGTTTTAGTCAAAATCACGATTTTTTTTGGATTGGTGGTCATTTTGATAGTTTGCATGTGATTTTGGTCCTTCGGTAAACTGAAAAGATTAAATTGCTCTTATTATATTTATTTTTCATTTTTCCTTTTTTCCTATAAGTATTTATATATAAATAATAAAAATATAGGCCCACATACTCCCCCCCCCCCCCCCCCCCCCCGCGATAAACTGAATCCACAAGCCCTATCATCTCTCTCTACAACTAATTTCCTCATTTTGGCGATATTCCGATGGAACCGAACGACAAGAACGTCGAAGCAGTGCCACTAACACCGTCAAAGTCGAAGCATTCCAGCAAGTCAAAGCTACCAGAGAATGTAAACCCTAACCTTACTAGCCTTAATCCGAAAGCCTTGAATTCCCCATTAGTCAAATCAGCGACTAAAGTCCAGAAATCGACGATGAAGAAACCTACTCAGATCTTTTCGCCTTCTCCCGAGAACAAGATTCGTGAGAGGAAGTTTGTGGTGGCAAAGAAGAATTCAAAGATAGACAATGATAAAACCCCGATTATAGTCGATTGTAAATGTAAGGCTAGTGATAATTTGGACAAATGTTTGTGTGTTGCTTATGAGACTCTTAGGGCTTCTAATGAAGGGTTTTTCAATCGGAGTGAAGTTATTGTTCAGACAAACAACAATCCTGTTAGACAATTCTAGTCTACTTCATTCAATCCATCTGATCTCTTACTCACTGCAGAAAAACTAGGGTTGTGTCCTTCACTTGATGGCAGCCATGGGAGGTTGGTTGGTCATCATCTAAAAACTCAGCCATGAAATTTTTGTTAAACATGGTTAATTTCGATTATGAATGGGTTTATTTCTACGTTTTAATACTTCAAACAGGATTTCAGGAGGTGGTCGTCAAAGCAGAAGAAACATAAGTCATCATTCATCATTGTTTTTCTAAAATCAAGATCGTTGCTTCTTGTTTATGTTGATTTATTAACTTTTATTCTACTATACAGAGTTCTGATTCATCATCTTTAAGTTTTGGAGGCAGTAGATGGAAAAGACGAACACTCAAGGCTACCTCTTAGCAACCTTTTAAGCTTAGAACAGAGGTTGGCATTCACATTTTATAGTTCACTTATAGGTTACAACACTTGTACCTTTTATAAATCTATTGAATTGAGCACATTAACTCATGAATCTGTAGTAAAGAAAAAGAACAAAACAAGAAGAGTTCATGAAGAAAGTCCAAGAGATGATAATTCAACAAAACAAGAAGAGTTCATGAAGAAAGTCCATCACACACACACACAAAGAGAGAGAGAGAGAGAGAGAGAGAGAGAGATAAGCTTTATCAGTTCAACATTTCTTGAGAGGTGAGTCTCCTCACCATACCAATGGGTCGAAGGCACCAAGGCCTACCAATTTAGTTAGTTGTAGTGTTTATTGTGGATTCACTACTGATATGTCTGGTATGCATGTATATGAGAATGTGCTAGTACTTACAGATTGGATATGTAAAGACCTCGGGGGGAGCCTGTGGTAGTTGGATATAAGACCATGAGGGGGAGTCCATGACATTCCTAGGTAAAGGCCATGTGGGGGAGACCATGACGAGTAGTTAAGACCATGTGGGGGAGCCAATGATACATAGGAGTAAGACCCTAGAGGGAGTCCACGGCATCCCTATATGTTTATGTATGAGTTATGTAGTATGATAGATATTTTTGTGATATATGATATGCTAGTAGATTATTTTGTTATTTGCATGGACGACCCCAGCAGGAGCCCGTGTCAGTTGGATATAAGACCATGAGGGGGAGCCCATGACATTCCTAGGTAAAGACCATGTGGGGGAGCCCATGGATAGTAGGTATAAGACCTTGGGAGGAGCCCACAACATCCTTATATGTTTTGCATGGCTTATGTGGTTATGTAGGTAATATAGCTAATATGGATGATGTAATTATGTAGATTGTGTGTGTGTGGGGGGGGGGGGGGTATGTGTAACGCCTGTGTTTCTGGGCTAAGCATTAGTACAGTGATGTAATAGTCAGGTCAACCATTGTAACCTATTTTGAAGTAATAAAGATGAGTTATTTGAGTATTATGTGAATTTATGTGCTTTATACTTCTTTATAAAGGTATAATAAATAAAGGATAAAAATAAGTGTAAAAAATAAAGTCTTAGATAAACCTGATATCTATACATAAAGTTGTAGTGGTCAAAACAAGGATTCCGGATATATAAAGAACGCCAAAATCCGAGTTATAACGAAGAAGTTATGGTTTGCCGAAGTTTCGCGGCAAAACTGGTCCGACACTGCATGACGTAAATAGTGAATTTACTTTAGCCTTAGCGATCTAAACGAAAGTCATAGTGTTCGTTAAACCGAGCATGCATAAAAAGAACACCCAAATCTGACTTCCTATTAGGAAGTTATGATTTTTCTAAGTTTCGGGCCAGCAGTACACAACCCGAAGTTCGAATATTAGATCGATCGATTTTTGGCCGACACAACCTAAACGAGAATCAAAGATCTTATTAATAGTAGCGCAACGGTAAAAAGACAGACAAAAACGGACGTCGGATGACGAAGTTATGAATTTTAATGGACTATTCCTGTCCTGGACTGTTAAAAATATAACTTTTAAAATAAAGTCAAAATTAGTCGATGGAGTATAAATGAAAGTTGTAGAGTATGATCCCACCTACGCATAGATGTAAAGAACGTCGAAAACGAAGCTCATATGCAAAAGTTACGAATTTTAGAAGTCGAGTGGGTTATTTGCGAAGCTATTGCGAGAAGCGATGACGTGTCACAGTCTCAGCCCTCCCTTACACCCCATGGTCTCGCACCCGATGTCGACACCTGTTACTTCGGACGCCCAGCGTAGCCGAGGAACGCCTCGTGTCCGAGTATGCCCTGTGTACGAGGAACAAAAGGCCAACGGTCCGGCCTTCTGTAGTTCCGAAGCGACCACGTAGCCCCACCGCGATTCAGACACTTGTCCTTACACGCCGTGTAGGTCAGCAGTACACCCCGCGTATGCGAGGCCTCTCAGCCTATAAAAGGCATGTGAGGTCAACCTTCTTTCTTCATAAATTCACTTCTTCTTTCTCTTATTACTCTCTCTCTCTCTCTAGCCTACCCTAACCCCCCAAACCCTAGGGAACCCCCTAGCACTAGAAGGAAGCCCCGGAGCTCCCAAAGGCTCCGAGAAAAAGAGCTTTTCGGCTCGGAAACTCTGCTCCAACGAAGCCCAGTTTTTAATAAAAACCTGTTGTAAGTGAGATACGCCTACCATACTTTAAATATAGCTTATATATAAATATAATATCGTTATAAATATGATTTATCAGTGATTCAAAGTCGTTATACTGATTGAACTACTTACGGGAGAGGTGTCTAGAATGGTCACGCTGGGTTTGGTTGTTTGATTTCAGAAAAGCTATATGCCGAAATGGTACTGCCTCCCAACTGTCCTGCCTGGCTGATCCTTACTTGATAGATCATGAATTTGCATGGTTATTCACACATTGTTTGTGATTCTCGGTATCCTAGTCACAAATTTGAAGGGTATAGTCGAGATTAAACATGCCATTGAAAAGTTCAATGAATCTCAAAAGATGTAGGAATTTCATTTAAACCTAATTTATTCAAATTTCATTTTTCGTGGTGAAATTGATAAATCATCATTTACCTACCTTCATATAATTTACAATTGGATTACTACATCCCTCTTCCGAATTGTGAATTATTTTGTTGGGTCCTAGCCTTAATATTTTATTTCGGTGTTATATTAAGGATTTCCTATCTAATAAAAAACTTGTCTTTCTTCTTTTTAAGATGTCTAGCCCAAACAACGCTCCTGGCTCAAACTCCAACAACAACAACTCCTCAAACCCACTCTCGCTCCTAAACATTTGTGGGAGGGTTACTTTTGATGGATCCAATTTAATGATTGGATCAGAAACATCATAATGGCGATGCGATACGAAGATAAGGAACACATTCTCAACACGGAACTCGCCGAGATTGATGAAACTACTGCTACTCCTGGAGAAATGGAGGAGTATAGGTCTCGATGCAAGGAAGCGACCAAAGTGTCGTGAATTATGGTGACCACTATGACTCCCGAACTACAACGGTTCTATGAGGACTTCTTGCTTTACGAGATGTTCCAGGACTTGATGGAAAAGTACTATCAACTAGCACGTCAAGAGAGGTATGAGATTGTTACCTCATTTATAACTACCAAAATAAAGGATGGAGAGTCCATCATGACCCACTTGCAAAGAATGCAAAGGTATGTGGATCATTTGCTCAAGTTGAATGTCAACATTGACGAGGAGCTGGCTATAGATATAGTCTTGCACTCCTTACGTCCCTACTTTGATCAGTTCAAGATGACTTATCATTTGAGCAAGGAGGAAGTCTCATTGAGCAAGCTTCAAGGTTTGTTGAGAACTGCTGAAACTGGAATGAAAGGAAAAGTTATTGAATCCACTCCTGCTGCTGCCCCAATCCTGACTATTGGACATGGAAAAATGAAGAAGAGGAAAGCTCCCTCAAAGAGCTAGAAGGGAAAGTCCCATGATGGATCTTCTTCAAGTGGAACCAAAGAAAAAATTGGTTCTACCACTCCCTCCTCCGATCCTATAGAAGCAACTTGCTTCTACAACCATGATAAGGGGCATTGGAAGAGAAGTTGCCCGAAGTACTTACAGGACATCAAGGATGGGAAGATAAAGCCCTCTTTTGCAGGTATTTATAATATTTTATCTAATAACTCATCACATGCTAGTTCTTGGGTCCTTGACACAGGATGTGGTTTTCATATTTTGTTTTGATTTGCAGGGGCTAAAAAGAAGTAGGAATGTGAAGCATGGGAAGATGAACCTGATAATGGGGAATATGAAATCGTCGCCTGTCACCAAGATCAATGCTTATGCTTTAGTGCTTAATAGTGGGTTAGGGTTAGATTTGAATGAATGTTGCTACTCATGAGAGATGGCGAGGAATATTATTTCTTTCCATGGTTTGTACAGAAAAGGTGTTAGATTTTCATTTAATAGTGAAATTGGTTCTATTAATGCTTATTATAATGGTTTATTTTATTTTGAAGCATTGCCTTGTAGATAACTTAGGAAATAATGTTTTGCATATTGATTCGTCTAATGGTCTAGATAAGGAATGTTTGTGGCATTATTGTCTTGGACATGTTAACAAGAAGTGCATAGCCTAACTCCAAAAGGATGGAATGTTGGATTCATTTGACCTAAAATCAGATGAAATGTGCGAATCTTGTTTACTTGGAAAGATGGCTAAATCACCTTTAACAGGTACTTGTGAAAAAGGTGATGGATTATTGGATCTCATACAAACAGATGTGTGTGGGCCCTTCAGACCCACCATAGGGATGCTAACCGCTTCTATGTGACTTTTACCGATGGTTATAACAGATATGGATATATCTACTTAATCAAGCACAAGTTGGAAACCTTTGAAAAATTCAAAGAGTTTAAGCAAGAAGTGGAAAATCAATTGGACGGGAAATAAAGATGCTTAGATCCGATAAGGGTGATGAGTATCTTCGTATCGAGTTTCACGACTATCTTAAGGAATATGGAATTGTTTCACAATTGACGCCACCTAGGACACCGCAACTCAATGGTGTGGCTGAGAGGAGCAATCAAACCTTGTTGGTCATGGTTCGTTCCATGATGAGTCAAGCTTTGCTACCAATCTCATTATAGGGGTATGCCTTAGAGACTACCGTCCATATCCTTAATCTAGTCCCAACTAAGAAGGTTGCCAAAAAACCTCACAAGATGTGGACAAGGAAGGTTCCCTCGTTGGCACATATCAAGGTTTGGGGTTCTGGAGCTTTCATAAGACGAGAGACTCACGACAAGCTTGAACCTCATATTGAACGGTGTTTTTTCATCGGTTACCCTTAGAAATCCTTTGGATATCTTTTCTACAGACCCAGTGATAAAGTGGTCTTTGTAGAGAGGAGAAGTGTTCTACGCAAGAGGGAACTTATATGCCAAGAGGACAGTAGGGGGACAATTGATCTTGAAGAATCAAGAATCAAGCGATGAAGGAACCTCTAACACTAGCACTCAACCTGAGGAAGGGAATCCTGTTGAACCAGTTGACGAGTCGTTACCTCTCATACGTTCTAGTAGAGTTAGCATTCCACCTATATTATTTGGTTTTCATATTACTACGAAAGGTGATACGTTCATCAGTGATAGTACACTGGTAAATTTCGATGATCCTACTAACTACAAGGAAGTCATAGTGGGCCTTGAGTTTGCTAAATGGAAAGAGGCAATGGACAACGAGATCCAATCCATGTATGACAATCAATTTGGAACTTGGTTGACAATGTACCATGTCGAAAAACAATTGGGTGCAAATGGATCTTTAAGAAGAAGACCGACATGAATGGAAAGGTGCATATATTCAAGGCACGACTGGTTGCGAAGGGCTTTACTCAAACCCTAGGGTTAACTATGATGAGACCTTCTCACCAATGGCCAAGATCAAGTCTATTAGGGCTATGTTAGCTATCGTTGCATTTCATGATTATGAAATTTGGCAGATGAATGTCAAAACCGCCTTCCTTAATGGGAAGCTGGCTATAGATATTTACATGTGCCAACCATAAGGTTTTGTGGATGCTAAATACCCCAATAGAGTGTTCAAGCTTGAGAAATCCATTTATGGATTGAAACAAGCATCTCGCAGATGGAATCTTTGCTTCGATGAGAAAGTCAAAGAGTTTGGTTTCTCTAGGAGTGAGGATGAGTCCTGTGTGTATGTCAAAGCTAGTGGGAGTATAGTTAGCTTTCTAGTATTGTATGTTGATGACATACTACTCATAGGAAACGACGTTCCAACCTTGAAAGAGGTTGAGTCCTGGCTTGGGAAGTGTTTCGCTATGAAGGATTTAGGAGAAGCTGCTTATATTCTGGGGATAAGGATCTTGAGAAATATGAGTAAGAGACTAATTGGACTTAGTCAAGTACTTACTTGGAAAAGGTGTTAAAACGTTTTAGCATGGAAAATTCCAAGAAAGGGGAGTTACCAATCCAAAGCAATACCAAACTAAGTAAGACTCAGAGTCTGAGTACCGATGCCGAGATAGCGGAAATGAGTCAACTGCCATATGCTTCCGCTGTTGGCTCCATCATGTACAGTATGACAAGTACTCATACTGATGTGGCTTTTGCATTGAGCATGGTAAGTTGATATCAAGGGGACTGGGTCCTTGTACTTGGTGGAAATGATGACTTGAGAGTGACAAGGTATAGTGACGCCATTTTTTAGACCGACCAACACAATTTCCGTTCTCAGTCAGGCTGGGTGTTTACCCTAAATGGAGGAGCAGTGACTTGTAAAAGTTCCAAGCAGGAGACCGTGGTTGATTCAGCGTTTGAATCAGAGTACATAGCTGCGAGCGAAGCATCGAAGGAGGCTATATGGTTGAAGAACTTCATTGAAGACCTTGGAGTTGTACCAGCCATAAAGGAGCCCATGAAGTTTTTTTGTGATAATGAAGGAGCAGTTGCCTTAACCAAGGAACCAAGGGATCATTGCAGATCCAAATATCTTAACAGAAAATACCGTTTCATCAGACATCGGGTAGAAGAAGGACTCCTCGTCGTCAAGAGGGTATCGTCAGAAGAAAATCTTGCAAATCCCCTCACAAAGGGTCTAAGTAGGATTAAGCACATTCAACATGCGAGGAGCATTAGTCTGAAGGACGATATTAGTTTTAGTGATTAGATAGATATTTAGAAACTTGTAACATTATAAATGTAATTGAAATTTGATGATTAAGTAATGGAAGATTTATTTATGAGTAAATTTTACTATCTTTTGTCAATTGTTTATTATGTGTTTCACGTTTGCATGTTTTACTTCCTGAATAATTGGATTGTTCAAATTATCCACAGTCAATCATACTTTGGAAGTAAATAATGAGGTAAGACTGTCATGAATTGACTTGTAGATTGTCTAAGTGCTTAGACATAACAAATGTTTGTTGCAACGTTCATGAATACTCCTGAAATTGGATTAAACCCACGCTCATTTGAATCACTTCATGGAATTTATCACTAGTGATTGTGAGACGATAATATGGTATAATCTTTAAACCGATATATATATGAGTTGTTGTTTACGAGTTGGTTGTGCATTGATAATGCGTAAATGCATTAGTAACTTGATGTTATAAAATGTATAATTGTGTACGATTTGATGTGTAAATAGTACAAGTATATAAGTCAAAGATTATATGTTCCTTTTATCCCAAGGGGGGTAAAAGTGATATCTTGGGCCCTTCCATGATTTTGTGTTGACTTATGTGTCGGGTCCGTTCAGGACTGAGTTGATATGTTCGATTAAGTTCCTTGTCATACAAATCATAAATCGGGAAACAAACTGGTGGACACTGAGAATGATTTTGTTCCATGTCTTTGTCCACATGATATCTTGAAGAACAGAAGATTATATGATCCTTTATCTTAAGGACACACAACTGACTAGGTTAGAGTTCGAGAACGGCTTTTGAGAGATATGATTGCTAATCAGATTCTGAAGTCATACTTGCAATTATAGTTATTAGACTTATCCAAGTGGGAGACTATTGGATTAGGTGTCTAAGCCCACAACTATAATTTATATGTACTTGATTTGATGGTAGCGTGGTCCTTTTGGTTTGCCTTCACACTAACAACTAGACAGGATGACTATTGGATCACTCTTATTAGGGAGGGCCGAAAATCCCTAGAAGGTTCTAGGTATTTTCGTCCAAGCCCTAAGGTAAGGGAGTCCATGGACTTGCTTAGGCCCTAAGCTAAGGAATTAGGGTTTTCACCTTAAAACCCTAGCTGGCCTCAAGTATAAATAGAGCCCTTAGTTCTTGAATTCGGTCACACCTTGTGAAACCTTCATATTCACCCTTTTTCCCTAGTGTGTTTGTGAGCCATTAGAGATACTACAATTATGGTACTTGTTCTCAAAACAAAGGATCTTCAAGTTTGAGTTGTTATTACTATATAACAACAGAGGTATGTCATCTAATCTTTCATATGTGATTCATATTAGGGTTTCCTATTTGTGTTCATTTGTTGTATGTCTAATATGTCTAGCTTGACCCTAATTTGTGGACGTATAAAATGGAAAGTCATGTACAAATTATGGTGGTCTGATAATTTAAAAATCAAGGATTATCCCATGATATGATAGTAAACTTATTTTCGTAAATTAAATAAAACTATTACGTACATCAAATCCATACTTTGAAAATTCCAATAAACTACCAAATAACATGTGTAACATGACTATATTTGTTATACTTGAGATAAAACTTTATTTTCTAGAATTTATTTCCACCGCATGAAAAACCTCAACAAAGAAAAAAGATAACTGCCACCTTCTTTTTAGAGATACAAGTCAAAACCACATTTATGAGCATTGATTTGAGTTTGGTGCATGTATGGCTTATAACTTTCCCCCTTGAGAGTCAACAGATTTCAATCTCAATTGAGCAAGAAATTGCTTTACTTGAGTCTTGACTCTTGAGAGGTGGATCATCAAATGGTGATAAGTTATACTTCGAGAAGGATGATGAATGGTAGTACTTTAATCGTTACTTTGGTTGTTCTAATGTTGTTAATACATCCGGGGAGGGCTGGGGTGTACGGGTGCTGGGGTGGGTGTCTCAATCAGTGTGTACTTATCGCCGACAAAAAGCCTGAAGAAAAATCAACATGTTACTGGAATTGCTTAGCCAACTGCTTTCCTGAATCGGGTCAAATTTCAACCCATTCATCATCGGCTAGTGAAATTGCTGGATCTCCATTACCAAATACCCCTCCCATATCTATCAATAACAAACCCACATTTCCTCATTTTGGCTTGGGTAAAAAGTATTATTGCATCATCGGTTGTTCTTTGCATAGCTGTCTTATTCATGGTCATGGTAATCTCTCTCTCTCTCTCTCTCTCTCTCTCTCTCTCTCTCTCTCTCTCTCATCAAGAAGTTGAATTAATTTCCGAACAGAAACACATGTAAATTCTGATATATTGTGAATTTGTGATAGTCCCTTTTAGATTTTGTAGTTAATAGAGGTGATTAAACTTTTTAGAATAAAATCAAAAACCAAATTTGGCTTTGAAGCAAAAACTATTACTAATTTGTACGTAATATATAAAAGGTAACAAGTTGAAAATCTCTAGGAAAACATATTATTTAATATGTCTTGTATATTAACAAGGTTTTTATAAATATGGAGTAAGTAAAGAGGAATTAGTACATATTTTTGCCGTCATTAATGTTGACTTATTTATTGAATGTTTGTATGACTTGATTTTGCAGCTGGAGTCGATTTGAAGCTCTGTCTCATAAGGTGCACCCACAAATGCAAATAGTACTTGGTGTTTAGGTTTTGGTTCGTTTGTATTATTTTATTTCTAATATTCTCGTAAAACCAGAAAAAAATGATATAAACGAACTAAAGATTATGTTAGATACATAGAGTCGAAAAAGAACACTTGCTGTTGAAATAAATTAGATACGTGTAAGCCATAGTCTCGCACTTGTGTATCTCAAATGTGAACAACACTAAACACTAATTAAATAAAATGTTACTTTTAATGTTAATAGAATTTTTTCATTAATTTAATTATTATCGTACAACAAGTGAGATAATAAATAAATAATAAGTTGTGCAACTAAGCTTTTTAAAATGTTTTATTACATTATAGTTTAGCCTTATTATTAATATTGTCATTCTAATAAAATTAAAATAATATGACAGGATATCGACATAAAAAATATTAAAAACCAATATAATTAAAAGATAAAATAAAATATGATTAAAGCATGTGTTTAGATGTAAAAATCATAAAAGTAATATATATATATATATATATATATATATATATATATATATATATATATATATATATATATATATATATTCGAGATTATGCAGAAAAACTAAAAACATTTTACCTTTTAAACCCGATCTTGGAGATTCTAATATATGTTACCAAATAAAGGGAAATTATAGTATAAAATGAAATGCAAATAGTAAACATGTTAAAAAAAATATCAAATCAATAAGTTATGACAGTTTAAATAATTTTATAAATTTAATATTTGGTAAATTTAATTTAAGAATGATTGTTTCTATAAATTTAGTTAAATATGGCTCGTTTATGTTATTTTTTTTAATCTCACACCCTTTATGTATTTTTTATTGATTCATTTTTTATTTAGTTAAACATGGCTTGGCTCAAGAGGTATTTTGTATTCTAAAATACCACTTATGTCAATTTATTTTACTCCGAGCTGTTTCTGTAAATCTTACTTAAATATGGACCATTTAAGTTAATTTTTTTAATCCCACGCCTTTTATGCAATTTTTAATACCAAACCTATTTTTTATGTTAATTAGGGAGGGACTGTTTATGTAAATTTACTTTAGAATGGATCATTTCTGTAAATGTAGTTAATCAGGTACCAAAATTGATGTCTTGTTGACTATAAAGAAGTTGTCTCACTCTCTCATATATGTGATTGTGTGTGTCAGTGTCTGTATTTTATCGTATGTGTATGTATGTTTGCCGCTAAAGTGTTTGTGATAATATAGTGTGTGTTATCATTTCTAAGAAAATATTTTGATTCTGTTTGCTTACTTTTGTTTTTTTTTATTTTTTTTATTTTTTTTTATTTTTTTATTTTTTTACTATAATTACGTTTCAAAACTATTATTTATGGATGTACTTATTTATTTATAATTTCAATCACTTATTATTTGAATTATCAATTTATAAATCTTTAATATTCATCACTTAACTATTTAACATTTTTTTTTATATTCAGCTAGTGTTATACACGACTTGCTAACCTTATAAATAAAGACAACTAATAAATAATTTCAACAAACTAATTCACCAGCTCATGGTTTTTTATTAAATACTACCACCTACCAACAAATATTTGACTCTCAACTTTAGTGCCTATGAGGTCCAAATCTTTTCTAGGACGTCAATAAATACAAAAGGTGTCATAAATTATAGAGAGAATAAATCAAATTGTTTTTTTTGACATAAAGCTTCACGGTGTGGGTCTAAGGTGGGGGTCTAACCGTATGGTGGTTGGAACCGTACCCAGGAACACAACAACATGGGTGCGGTTTTAGGTACGATTCATAGGGTTGTGTATTTGAGTGTTGCATTTGGGTCCTGCACTTGAGTGATGCCCATCATGTCATATCTGTTATTTTTTTTTTCGTCAGACTCCTACTCTCAGCAATCTCCGCAATCTCATTATGTTCATCATCAAAAGGAAAGTGAAAATATTTTATAAAAAATAATTTTTTTTCTTCTTTTGATCATTGTATTTCTTTCATTTTTCCTCCTAAAACAAAGAGTTAAAAAAAAACATTTTCTCCATTTTCCTTGGTTTCTTTTCCTTTAAAAAAAACTCAAAACACTCAATTTTTCCCTACACTTAAAAAAAAAAAATCAAAATCACTTATTTCCACAATTTTACTCCATTTACTTCAATTTCATTCCTTAAAATAAGAACTCTTCCGCCTAGTTCCTGAGTTGCAGTAGAGAAAAGAAAAAAATGGAAAAGAAAACAAGAAGAAAAAAGAAATCAAATGAAATTTGTCTTGTGTTTCCGGGTTGAAAAAAAGTGAAAGAAAACTAAACATTTTGTTCTATCTTTCAAAATCCTTAGGTTGCGTTTAGTTACGGAAAAACAATTTTCATTTTCCGTTTTTTGTTTTCCCTTTTCAATTTTCATTTTCCGTTTTCATTTTTCATTGAAAAATTTAGAGAACGCGTTTAGTTAAACTTATTTATTTTTCATTTCCAGTTTTAGAAAATTAGAAAATTAGAAAACGTGTTTAGATGTCTATTTTTCTATCGATTTTCATTTTTAAAAAACGGTAGTGGTAGTAGGGTGTGGATGGGGGCGGTGACGGTAGCGGGTCGGCGGCGGTGGTGGTGATGACAGACGATGGTGGTGGCGGCGTCAATTTTGTCAGTGGTGGACGTGCTAGTGACGGGTTAGTGGTGGTGGTGGTGATGGTAGGTCGGTGATTGTTGTGGTGGTGTTGGGTGGGTGGGGGTGCGAGTGTGTGTTTGTGTGTGTATGTGTGTTTGTGGGGGTAGGTGTAGGTTTGTGTGTGTGTGGGTGTGTATGTCTGTGAGGGTGGGGGTGGGGGTAGGTGTGGGTGTGTGGGTATGTATGTGTGTGTGTGTGCGGGTGTTTGTGTATGGGTGGGTATGTATGTGTGTGTGCTTGTGGGTTGATGTGTGTGTGGGTGTGTGTGTGTATGGGGGGGGGTGTATGTATGTGTATGTGTGTTTGTGGGTGGGTAGGTATGTATGTGTGTGTGTTTGTGGGTGGGTGTGTGTGCGTTTGTTTGTGGGTGGTTGTGTGTGTGTGGGTGGGTATGTATGTGTATGTGTGTGTGTTTGTGGGTGGGTGGGTGGGTATGTATGTGTAAGTGTGTGTGTTTGTGGGTGTGGGTGTGTGTGTGTGGGGGGGGGGGGTTGGTGTGTGCGTGTGTATGTTGGTGGGTGTGTGGGTGGGTGGGTATGTATGTATGTGTGTGTGTTTGTGGGTGTGTGGATGTGTATGTATGTGTGTGTGTCGGTTGGTGTGTGTGGGTGGGTGGGTGGGTATGTATGTGTGTGTGGGGTATGTATGTGTGTGTGTTTGTGGGTTGGTGTGTGTGTGTGTGCGGGTGTGTGTGGGTGGGTATGTATGCGTGTGTGTGGGTGGGGGGTGTTAAGGTGGGGGTAGGTAGAAGTGGATGGGGTGAAGTGGGTGTGTGTTTATAGAAAAATTTTGGAATTAGAAAAATATGGAAAACAATGATTATCAGTTTTCCAAAATTTTCCAACTTCTTTGTAATTTTAGAAAACGGAAAATTTTCATTTTCCGTGAAAAATTTAGAAAAATAGACGAACTAAACACGTTTTCAAAATTCTCATTTTTATTGGAAAATTTTTCCGGAAAACGGTCCATTTTTCCGCAACTAAACGCACCCTTATATTTTCTTCGACTTCTTTCGTTGAACACTAATTTCTTTTATTTATTTTTTCTCATTGCATCCATTTTATTCCATTTCTTTCTTTTAATTCGGGATCGGGTCTAAAACCGAGACTAAATAGTCTTTTTTATTTTATTTAAACAGTTTTAAGCTTCAAAGGCGTTCATTCTATTCATTTGTATTTGGTTAATATGATACCGAGATGAATAGATCCAGATCTGGACTTAGGATATATACTTCTCTTTTGGCCAAGTGAATTCTTGCTCCCTAGAATCATAATTCTCCATTAATATATCACCATTTTATGCTAAGGCCTCACAACATCTCAATTATCCATTCATACCAACCAAGTGGTTTTAGTGGCTACTATACTTTAGTCTATCGAAATGATTATATTCATGAAACCATTTGTTTTTCATGGTCTTTTTGCCTATTTCTTTTGTACTCAATGAAATTGACAAGACTTCAGGTGGAATCATAGAAGAAATAGAGAAATGAAGTTTGGAGGAAGACAAAGAGTGATTCCAAGAAGCAGCTTACTCTGTTCTAGACATGCTGAACAATAGAGGGAGTAGCTAATAGCTAAAATTCATGGTAATCATCTCTTTTTGCTAACTTCTTTTTATATTCTCCAAACAATAATGTTTTTTATTTTGGTCTTACATTCTGCGTCTTTGTCTGTAGACAACATTTTGTATGTATTTAAAATGTATACAAGTTATATCTGGAAAAAGAAACTTGGTTTTTTTTTTTTTTTTTGTATTTCATGTATTCAAGATATAAACAGGTGGTCATTCTCTCTTAAAGCATTAAGATCTTCCACTTGAGATGCATCAGCCATGAGAACTGTAGTTCCTCTTTTCCCAAACTTCTTCTCTGCATGACAACAACTTTATAAATTGAAGAAGATATCTTCATTCACTTACAATCTAAAATTCATTATGGCATTCAAATAATTATAGCTCAAAATACACCAGTTGCAATTGGATTGCTTACCTGCTAAGTTCAAAAGCTCTTCTATTGAGTCTGGTAAGTGGACAAGTTTTCCTGTCCTTTTTCCATCTATTGTTTTCTCATGTGGATGATGTCCATGGATTACCACCCTTAAGAGAAATGTGTTTGAGAGAACAGAAGTGGGTGTAACTAAAAATAATATTTTTAATTTTTTTATTAGATTATTTACCCAAATAGAAAATAAAAAGAAAAAGTAAATAAGATTATCAACAACCTTCTCTATCATCTCGACCATAATTCGATGCTTCACGGTTTTCTGATTGATTAACTGATCTGGTTTGCTATAATGCGGATGGAAAAAAAATGTTAGCTTTCATTTCCTAATGTTGAAATTTCATAGCAATATCAATACAATGTTTTACCTCAATATTCAAGTCCAATAAAAGCTCTGACAAAAATGGCATCTCGTCTTGCATTTCCTTCTTTAAGTCCTTGAGATACTGAGAGCATAAAAATGTCATCTTACTAAAGATCTATGCACTTTTAGAGGGCATGAAATGAATTTAACCCTTAAATTTAGTACCTGTAAGTTTTATATTTTAAATATAGAGAAATATAAATGAGGCATTACTAGTTAAATACCTGTGTGAAGTTGGACATTATCGTCTTTCCATCATCATCAAGTGGCTCCACTAGTTTTTTGAAGCGATGGTGACTAATTCGGACTACTTGAGAAAGCTTCTTGCTTCTTATAGTGAAAGGTTGTGGAATGTTGAAGAGTACACCAATTTCACCAAACATATCCATTGGGCCTAATTTTATCAAAAACTGAAACATAGATGGGCCTTAGTTAATACCCTAGCACCAATACACATACAAATCACAATCTTTTTAAACTTATTGAAGCTAAAGCTAGAGATAGAAATCTTTTTTCTTTACTAAATATATTGATTACTATCTTTACATTGCTAATTAACTACTTAATTCTCTGGTGCCCATTAAGAAAATAATATATACCTGTTCCATTCCGTTTTTGTGTGTCAACACCTCCTAGAATTAATAAACCATTAGAAATTTAGAATCGTGGATGAGTAAATAACATTAGAATTTGATTTATTAAAGATTTTATATACCATTGCTCCAGATACTACAATATAGAAATCCGTTGGTATCTCATTTTGTAATATAACTTCAACCTTTGGTGGAAAGTATTCTGCTTTTAAATCTGTAACCTGCCAACAAAAACCATAATTCAAGTTAACATTCATGCAATAATTCATACCAATTGTCTTCCATTTATTCCCATTACAGCATTGTACTTTCAAAATCCTACCTCATTTTAGTAATCTCATTCAAATACAAAGCAAATATGAATGCTATGATTGGATGGATTTTGCAAAGTATAATAATGTATTATAAAGAAAAAAATTGCTACTAATATATGAAAAGAAGAATAATTCATACCAATTGTCTGCTAAGGTCGTCTGAAATGCCTTTAAAAAGATAAGTCTTTTCAACAGTTTTACGAAACAAATGTTGAGAAATACTAGATCTAATCGCCTTTGGCAAATCATCTAGAACTTCTTCTTGTTGTAGCTCAGCTGTTTTAAACTTAAGTTGCATATGTGCCAACATTTGCTCTTTCAATCCTTCCGGAAGCCTGTTCTTGCTCGCATATCTTAAAATCTCATTGATTGCGTCCCTCTGTAGGATAAAGTTAAAAATAACATATCATCACGTGACATAATCATTACTAAAAAAAAATACTAAAGAATAACTTACCATGGCAAAAGTTCGAACAGCACTATGAACAATTAAATTGGTCATGTTTCCAATTAGATAAGAGGTGAGCCCGATGTTGAATAACATATAGAAGATATTGAATACTTTCTCTCCTGTATTTACTGCATGCAAGTCACCATAGCCAACAGTTGTAAGGGTCACAATTGACCAATACATTGAATACGTGTATCCTAACCAAATGCTTCTGTCCTCAAAGTTGTGAATAATAGATCCGATCCATGTATCATCCGATTGTTTATGATGAGTCGCTATCCAGTAGTAAAAGCATGCAGCTGAGTGCACTGCAAAAAGTGTAACCTGTGGTATCCAAAATATACCGAAACCGGATTATATTTTTTGCAAGTTAGATGATCAAATAGGTTAAGTAAAAGTGATACTAACACAAATTAGCTTGAGAGTTCTTGTCCCGAAGTAGCTGAAGCGTGTATCCTTCTCTAGTCTGTTTAGACAACAAGAGCTTGTTATAGTAAATTTTGTTATTCTTTCAGCAACCCCTGGTCTATACTGTCAAATTTTTTTATTCTTTCAGCAACCCCTAAGGTGGCCTATACTGTCAATTTTTTTTATTCTTTCAGCAACCCCTAAGGTGGCCTATACTGTCAAATTTTTTTTATTCTTTCAGCAACCCCTAAGGTGGCCTATACTGTCATCTAGGTTAATGACATTAGAGGCTTAGGGCCCATAAGGAGTTTAATGGACACTGGAATTGAAATATTCATACTACAATCTAAGAATCAAACCCTTGATCATTGATATTTTGATGCTTTAGATTTTATACTATTTGGCAAAATATATAGAATATTAATTCAAAAAGTTTCATGGTTTGTACCTTGAGAAGAGCTCGCTAACACGCCTTAGCCGCCAAAGCCTAAGAAGATTAAGAAAGCCAAAGACTTCCCCACGGTGTAGTTTTCCGGTGAAGAGTCTGTATATTGCTTGAAATGGGAGTGTTGATGCCACATCCATTGGGAACATCATATGAGTGACATACCTAAAAAAAACAAACAAAGTAGATTGTATAATGGAAAATAATGCATTTTTTTGTTTCACAAAATAGGTTATTCTGTCATGGATTAGCCCACACTGCTGCCCATCTTAGAAGCATCATGTGAAAGGTAAATCAGATAGACAGTTAACCTAATCCATATTGAAATTAAATATGACATTGTTGAGACAGAAACTTTTGACTTTAGATATACCGTATTGGAACCAACTACGAAATGCCATGGGGCAATAATGCATGTTTTGGATACATGTAGAATAGTTTGTTTAGGATACCTTGTGGCTATCTTTTGATGATCATCGACAAGTAGATATGTTGACTTATCCAAATAGGCCACGAAGAAAGTTAAGAAGATGTCACCTACAAAAAAGAAGTCGACTACTAAATCGACGTATAGGAGAGATCCTGTGGCCACCTTCTTGAAAGCCAGCTCAAACGGGGATGACCATGCGGAATATATAACAAGTACCACTAGAAATGCTTGCCACCATCTACATACATTTACATGAACGATTTGAAATCTCAAATAGTTTTTTGAAAAGATGACTTATAAGCTCACTACATTCCAATAAATAACTTATGCGTGCAAAACAATTAGTAAAATTAAAAGGACACCTAAAAAGAAACACGTAGGACAAGCGAGTTAAAAGCTGTCTAAAATATATATTCAGTCCATAAAACATTATTCCCTGTTTCCTTCAATAAATTACAATATTAAACAAACCGAAATAAAATATTATCAATCGACTTCCATAATTTATTGAAAGCCATGATGAAGGGCGTGGTCACTTGTCACAGAATACTTATCCCTTTAATTGCGTTTTTCGTTTAGTACTATCAATCAAGCGGCGTGAATTTTTAAATTTCTTTATTGCTTTTATTAAAAAAATACCAATATTATATTCATTTAATTGATCTGATATTTGGCTTTTAGCTATTCAATTGTTGTTTTGTAATATTTACCATGACAAAGAAATTTGACATAGAATTATTACATATAAAAATAATATTATTTAGTATTTACACAAATTTAATATCCAAAATAAACTTACACCTGAAAGTTAATATCCAAAATAACATCCCTTAACCAAAACCAATTAAACCATATATGCTAAATTTCGAAGTTTCTTGTTTTCTTCAAATGTATGTACTTTATGCAGACATCAAATCTATGCCAAATCTCTAACTTTCTCGTTTTCTTCAAGGTTAAACCTTGTAAATTTCGTGCGAGATGCTGATATTAAATATTTTAGACAATAACAAATAAAAAAAATTACATAAATGTTAAATTTTTAACTTTTGGCTCCTTAGATCCATTTAGTTTGTTTTATTTTGAAAAGTGATTGTTACAAAAAAAAAATTCTCAATACATAATAATATAATAATTCATGTTTTATATATAAAATTGTAATACAATAATTTAAAACATAAATTGTTGTATACAACAATAAAAAATAAATCAATTTTTTATATTTTTTTACTCATTTGATCTATCATAAAAGGTAATTTTAATCAATTTATTTTAAAGTAAATGAGCTCACAACTCTATAAAATAATAACAATAATAATATTACTTTTAAATAAATGAAAATTACCATATCCGATGTATAAGATTTTTGTTATAACTGAAATCCAAAGGCTTAAACTATTAACAAAAGAAGATAAAAAGTTACAAAACATTTTAAGATTCGATGAAAATAATCTTGGAAGTTTCTTCAATGGAGAAAGAACATGCAATCGTACACATTTTGATGCATGGTGTACAACTTTCAAAGATATAAACACTCAACTTACCTGTAGCGTCGATCATAAGGTGCAATAACATAGTCTCTAAGGGGAGGTGAATCGCCGCCAACAACAGTTCCAAAAGCTGGCAACAGACTGCTTGAGACTGATGCCAGATTGTTCATAATATCTCCACTCGAATGTCTCCGGTACAGTAATGGCACCGGAGATCGGTTTTCCGGCGACTTCTCTTTCATCTCCGGTGAGTCTTTAGACAGAGAGAGATTAGATCTATATTTTTATGGGATGTTGATTGGTTAATAGATTCGGATTAAACCAGCAATTAAGGAAGGAGGCATTGGGATTTCCCTTGCATAATTGCATTATTCAATTCGGAGTAGAATATATTAATTAAACAAAAACCCAAACGATAATTACATTTTGCTTAAGATATTGGTGGCTGGTTTGACTTTATTGGTAAATACAAAATTTGTATTTTAAATTTGTTGCTTGCTGGCCTTTGGATGGTTTGACTTTAATGTGTGTGTGTTTGGATTTGACAAAATGAACAACAGCTGTTAAAAGGAGATTGGTCATGGTTTTATGTAATGATTTGAATCAAATTGGATCATGGGTTTATGGATAGGGTTGACCCGATTGACCCAAACACACTTTTTTCCCTTTTTGCTAAAATGAAAGGTTTATATATCTTCGCAAAAAGATTTTACAAAGGTTAATTTAATATATTAAGATAGAAAAAGCGAGATAAGTCAAAATTTGTTTTAAGTGAGACAAACTTTTTTGTGGCACGTGGGCTTGGACTTTGGATTGAGTATCAACACACCCATGTTACTTGGACCAAACCCTTCAATAGTGAACAATGTTTTCGAGTTTCTTTTAGAAAAACATAAAACAAAAAAAAAATATAGTTAACATAATATAGTATTATTTATTAGTGTGTTTTGGAAAAAGAAATGATATCTGCTTTATTTTATTTTATTTTATTTTATTTTATTGTAATATCCAGTGTTTTAAAAACCGGTTCGAACCGGCTGGTTGAACCGGGAACCGGAGGTGAGGGCGGTTCGATTTGGACCGGTTTTATAATGATTTTCCGACTGGATTGAACCGACCGGGTTTGGTAAAAAACCGGTTCAACCGGCTGAATTGAACCAGAATGGACCGGGTTGAACCGGCCATTTTTGGATTTTTGTGTTTGTTTTGGGCTTCTTTGTTTGATTTTGAATTTTATAATGATTGTTTTTATATGTTGCATTCTATTTACGTTTGTAATACTAAAAAGATGACAAGTTTTGTAATCAATGTATGCAGGATAATTAAAAACATATAAAAATATAGAACCGGTTTGACTATCCGGTTGAATCGGTTAAACCAGTTGAACCGGAAAAACGTCATCCGACTGGTTCAATTAAAAAACCGGTTTTTAAAACATTGGTAATATCTGATAAAATAAGAGTAACACTTTTATTCATATTCAAAATGGGAAAGTAACATTTTTAAATGAGTTCTTTTTATTACAAAATAGGAAAGTATATTTAAAATTATGTACTTTATTCCTAGCTGTTTTTTTTCCTTAATATGATAATGTTTCAACTTAAAGAGCCTTGTATCATAAATATTGTGAGGAGAAAAGAAAACAAAAAGATGACGTAACTTGCTAATTCTACTGATAAATGAATTTTGTTAAGAAATTTAAGGTTAAAGGCATAAAGTTAAGATTAAGATTTCAACTCAAAAAGTACCATTTTTTTATATGCATGTTTTTTTTTATATTCTATAGGTAAATAGGAAAGACCCAAAGCCCAAACCACATAAAATAATTTGGGTGGACGGTTTTGTAATTTGGAATTTGCTTAGCCTCATTTCAATTTTGAATTTTTACTTTTTTTTTTTTTTTTTTTTTTTGCCGTAGTTTATAGCCTCACTCGGTCATTCCCTCCTCACAACCACGTTCATCCGTCTCAATTCCTAATCTTTCAATTTCCCCAATAAATTTACTATGAATTTGGTTCATCCACCTCCTCAATTTCTACTATTTCAATACGTTTAGTGTTTCAAATTGGCACAACATCTTATATTTACAAGGTGCAAACTTTAAACCGACATGAATTCGATACAACATAAAGTTTTGACATGACACAACATAAATTTCATCGGACAAGGTTAAAAGTCAAGATCCTTCAACCTATTTAATGTTCCAAACTCATACAATTTCAACCTATTTAATGTTCCAAACTCATTCGAATCTTACACAACACATTTTACATGTCTTGAGGGACAATAATATTTGAAATGGATTTAGTTTCCTTACAATGAATGAAGAATAAAAATATTATGATTAAAAAATTATACCATTTAAATATGATTTGAAAGGTTAGATATTTTAGAAAACTAGTATATCCTTTGAATTCTTTATCTTTATCTTGAAATAAAGAATAAAATGCTATTTAGTAGGTGAAAAGGATAATAGTGAAGTCAAAACTACTAGTGACAATTGTAAAATTGCTCTTTCTAGGCATCAAAGCCTATTGATACTCTCATCGGTGAAACTAATCGTCTAAATAAAACTTCATTATCTCTTTAATTGGTAACACGACTAATTCTCTCCCTATAAATCGCATGTTCTCCATAATTTCATAATGCGTGATATGAGTTGTTATGATTTGCTATCCGACAAATTTGGTCTTTATGTTTGTTTCAATCTCTCATGTAATAATAAACAAATGAAATAAGTCATAACTCATGTAATGAACTTGAAACAAGCAATATAATACAATTTCAAAGATAATTTTCTCTTTCTTAAAGGATAAATTCTCTGAAAATATGAGCTCCATACCCTCCCTTTCTTGCAATTTTAACAAAACTTTATTAGTATCCGACACATCATTCTTGGTTGAACCCTTCAGTGCAACTAAAATCAAAGAAACTGTCTGAGAGTGTGATAATGATCGTGCAGCTGGACCTAATGGTTTCTCATTTAAATTCCTCAGAAAACGTTGGTCCTCATTTGAATCAAATTTCCTTATTCTTTCTCATTTTCACACATATGACATTATCAACCCGAGCTACAACTCTTCATTCATAACACTTGTACCCAAAACAAGCGACCCCTTGTCCCTGTCAGATTACCACCCCATCAATTTAATTGGTTGCATTTATAAAGTGATCGCAAAATTCCTTGCAAATAGATTAAAATTGTCATTGGATATGTGATTGATGAGACCCAAATTGGATTCATTGTCGGAAAAAATATCCTTGACGGCCCCTTATGATCATTGAGTTAGTATCGTGGTTAAAGAAGACAAATAAGAGGTCATTACTTTTCAAAGTCGATTTCAGTAAGGCATTTGACTCGATGAATTGGTGTTTTCTTATCTCTAGAATGGAGCAATTAGTTTCCCGTCTCGTTGGAACCAATGGATCATGGTTTTCCTTCACTCGTCAAGATCCTCAATTTTGGTAAATGGTGCTCCTACTAAGGAATTCATGGCGAGTAAAGGTGTTACGCAAGGCGACCCACTATCTCCTTTCCTCTTTGTAATTTCCATGGATGCTCTCAATGTTGTCATGTATAAAGCATGTAATTTGGGAATTTTTAGTGGTATTTTTACTCCTAATATGGGTCCGACAACATGTCACTTGTGGACGATGCTTTATTTGTTGGGGAATGGTCTCATATTAATCTCTTAAACCTTGCAAGGATTCTTTGATGTTTTAACTTGGCTTTATTTGTTGGGGAATGGTCTCAGATTAATCTCTTAAATCTTGCAAGGATTCTTCGATGTTTAAACTTAGCTTCTGGGCTTGGTGTTAACTTCACAAAAAGTAAAGTCTTTGGGGTTAGAGTGGATACCTCTGATGTAACACCGTAAAAATTTGAACAATTTTTCATTTTTGAAAAACCATGAAATATAGTTTGCATTCATAATAAAAAGAAACATTGTAACAACATTGTATCAGTACAAAACCCCAAGATCAAAATATTTAAACTCCAGTGTGCGTGTGTACGAGTGCGTGTGTACGAGTCATGTCAGCGCCTTCCCGCGATCATCGCTAGTACATGAAACACATAACATATAACACTGTAAGCATAAATGCTTAGTCAGTTCCCCAAAACACCACATATATCACATACGCCTTTCCAGGCCATAGGACCTTACGATCCAAGTGTCTCAGGGGATTTCCATCCCAAATTCGGTTGACCTTCCGGTCTGTATCATCTTGACCTTCCGACCCACATCATACTCATATCACATAACATATCACATATAACTTACATTGCATATACATCATACACATAAGACCCTTTGGTCACATACAATTACCCCATCGGGTAAGGCATAGTGAGAAGACTCACCTCAGACGTCTCGTAAATCTCTGACTTGGTAGAAGTATTTCCTAGCCTTCGGCTATTCACACAAAGTAAATACCCTCATAAACACAACACTAGAGGCTAGACTCGACCCTCTATTGTCACCCTCAGAAGGGTAAAAGGCTATTTTATCCCCCCCCCCCCCAAAGACTCAAACACCCCATTGTTGACCAAACCCTCAAAGTCAACAAAAGTCAACGGTCAATTTTGACCCAACTTGCCGAGTGCACTACGGTGACTCGGCGAGTACACACATGTCCACTAACCCTCTGTCCCGCTTGGTACGTCGAGTCCTACCCTATGCTCAATGAGTCACACCTGGCATGAATCGCAGGGCTACCGCGAATCAACTCGCCGAGTCTCAAGAACAACTCGGCGAGTACCGTCTTGAACTCCAGTCTTTTAATCACCTTCTGACTCACTAAGTTATCCCCCAACTCGGCAAGTCTGCTCACTGAATAATCTCTGTGGGACTTAACCCTACTCGCCGAGTCCCAAGAACAACTCGGCGAGTTCATGCCATGCACAAACTCTATAGATCTCCTGTGGTCAGATCTGTGCTTCTAATCCATAGATATGGCCTCCCTAAGCATAAACGTCACGTAAAGTTTGAATCTTGATGCTTATAACTCGACCAATAAGCATCAAATGATGATTTTTTCCCAAACACCTTAACCCAAGGTCATGATCTCCATTGTTCTTCATAAAGCTTGAAGAATAAGGCTCTATGAACCTCTATGGGTCCAGGTACAAAGCCTTATCTCTAGAAGGGACTATTTGGACCTCAAATCAACTTGGTCAAGGGTACAAGAAACCCTAAAACCACACATCCTTCCCAAATCAGAAGAAGAGTCGAAATGTTACCTCAAATGAATGATCTTAGCTTTTAGTCCTTAGAATAGCAACCTATTTTGCTTTCCCTTGGCTAAAACCTCCTTCTTCTCACTAAATGACACCACAAAGATCAACAATGATCACTCCTTGCTTATCAAACGATCTGAGTCTCTCTCTAGGGGTAATAGCCACAATGGACGGCCATAAGGGCCTTTAAATAGGTTCCAAGC